CTTTTTCCTCTGATTCGTCCCCTCCGTTGGAGGAAGGCAGGGGGATTTGTGAGAGCGGCTTCATGGTATTTGGCTAGCTGGAGTTAAACCACGACACTGTGGAAATTGGTATTACCACATAAGGGAAGTTAACAGAGAGCTTGCTGTGATTCTCATCTGTTGTTTTTAACTGCTGTCTCACCAGAGATGCAGTTTAAAAGGAGCAGTCCTCCGTTCGTGGTCACTGAAATCCTGGACACCAAAGTGATGAGTGAAAACAGTTCACAAAAATACAGTTTATTTTAAATGAAATCTCAGAAATAATTGGACTGGCATTTTAATAAACCAAAATAACTAAAGTGTCAGGAAAAAACCCTACATACGGCACAAATCTGTGATACGTTCCTGTATTTTACGCAGTTCATCTTGTTAAGACCCTGACATGTCCGAAGAAGATGCAGAGACATGCTACTCTGTCCGTGTAAGAGCAAAGAGGTGTGAGAAGAGCATGCATAAGAGTGAACCGTCCTTCACTCCACAGTTTCCCTTTGCCTGGCTGCTCATTTGCCTGTGCTGCCCACCCCAGGCAGCAGCGCTTCACAGACAAACCACACTTGTACCTGGATTAGGACTTACGGCGACTACACAAGGGAGACTTTATGTGAGATGCTATCCTGAAGTCAGATGGGTGACTAAGGTAAGGTTACTTACAAAATCAGGTTTAAATTAAGGTTTGCAGGACCTAACATATGAAATCCCACATATCTGAAGGGAGAAGGGATTTATATGAAATGGCTGTAAAATGCTTTGCCACTAATGCCTCATTTCAAAGTCATGGAAAACAAGGCATAATCTAAACAGACTGCACCCCTAAAGCCAGGATACACAAGTGACCTTTTCTAAGGAGACACGTTTACTCCCCAGAGACTCTTCCCAAGGCTGCGCCTAACCCTGGTTTTCGCTTTTCCCAATCAATGTAGTCTTACTTTCCTACTCTCAAAAAACCCCAAGAAAACAAAACTCCAAGTACCTGTAGAGCGCTCACTATTTACTGAAGGTGTCAATTTTTAAGAGAGCCTATCAGCCACCCACCAGTGAAAGGAGGAGCAGAGCAGGTAGGGAGTGTGCACTACTGTGCACCAGCGCAAATAAAGAACGAGTACCAATTTCTAGGAACAAACAACTGCATTCATCTCAGATCAGCGTACTTAGATTGGGTACGCAGGTAGCGTTGGACATTGTAAATGCTGCTTCTGGGGGCAGGAGAACAGCCATCAAGGTTAAAAATAATACCAGTTAAGCGCAAAATAAAACAAGCGTTCTACTAAACACTTCATGGCTTTTAGCACCCTCTAGTGACAAAACAAGAATTTCAGAGATAGCAATATTCTTGCTTTCTACACACCATTCCTTCTAAATCCCAATCCATTTGACAAGAGAGACTATTCCCAGAAACAGTCCCTAGAAGTCCACTGATTCAAGGATTTTGCTGATGCACTCCATCCCAACAGTCTCTCTCACACCAAGGAGGTATGGGAGCCAATGGCACAGGATTGTGTAGAGAGATTACAGGGAGGTATGAAGGGTACACGTGAGTTGACTTTCCATGTTCTGAAAAAACTAACTGCCATATTATTAATTCAATTTTGTGAAGACATTTTTCAAATGAACTCTCCTGTGTATAATCACGGGAAAACAGTTCTGGTCTTCGGTACAACCAGTGCTCCTTGCCAAGGCAACACAGCAACAATGCTGTGAAACAGCAACCGCTATATAATACTTGCGGTCATAAGTAAATGCATCAAAACGCAACCATTTTTATATCACGAATTAAAAATAAACTCATTTTCTGTTTCATAAAAGCTAGTTAACATGTGAAATTGCACCAGAGAACAGGTGGCTCACTAATGACGCTCCATGGACTGGTATTCTATGTGACTTCACAGAAGGACTTGCATATGAAAAGCAAAATTATCTTGACTCAGTGCTCTACAAAGCGTCGGGAAAGTGAACAAAATGTTTTAGTGAGTAAAGTGCTCCGTATGTCTACTAAAGGAAAAAATTCTTGACAACAATTATTAGAAGAACAAATCCATCAGACTACTTGAGGAGAGTGAAGGGCACTTACTTCGCTTGCCAGTTCTCATTCACCTTAAGCAGTTAAGGCACACCAGTTTTAATAAACACCAGTCTGCAAAAAACAGATGCTCTTTAATAGGTGAGATTTTACCTTTCGAGCTTGTTCCTCAGCTCGTTCTTTCTTGATTTTTTCCAGTTCAGCCAGAAGAGCTGCAGTGTCATCATCATCACTGTCTTCCAAGTCCTCATCTTCATCATCTTCCTAATAGCAACAAATGGAAATAAGAAGCAGCTTGTCCATGTCATTCAACAAAACCAGATTTTGGTTCAGGAGGTTATTGCAGAGACCTGTCTCTCATTTAAAACAAGCCCCCCGAACAGTCCTGGTCCACCCAGCTAAGGCTGCAATTTGCTGCTGGCTGAGTTCTGAAGCATTTGGGTGCTTGTAGCAGCAGCAAATACAATACAAATGGTTTACTTGCTCTTGTAAAGTCAAGACAAAAAATGTTTGTGATTTCTGGATGACTGCAATTAATTCTTTGTACTTCAAATGCTACGTAGCTGGCAGACACCTGAGAATGACTATCCTCAATCAATTTCTAATCATTGTAATGTAAGTCATTATTATAATGTGCCCGAATAACCCGTCCAATATTGTTGGGACCCAATATAAAAGGGTTAAAAACCCCTCAGCTAACTGTCAAGCCTTAGGCCTAACTTCTAGACGTCAGCATGAGGAGAGGAGCCAAGAGCAAGAATCCACTGCTCATGCAGACAGTGTACCTCAACAGTTCTACCTTAGGGGAAGGTAGAACTAACCCAGCAGTTGACCGAGTCTACAAGGTCACCCATTTCTCATACTTTATGTTGTATTCTCAGTTCCCTAGTTTGTGCGCTTTACAAGAATACCGTTACAGCATGGACCAGAATCCTCTGAACCATTCTGAACTCTCACCACAGTAGAGTAACTGTAAAAGGAAGGAATGTTGGAACCTGTCTTAAATCTTTAGCAGACCTAAAATAAAAGTACCTATTCTGTTATCAGCAAATCCTGAAGGCAGGACAATCAGAGGAAAGAAGACAGAAAAGATACATACATCAGTAAGTGGATCATCTGCATCAAGATTTGCTGCAGGAATCTGGTCTAGCCGAGGTTTCTTAGACACAGAAGATGATGTTGTGTGTTCTACAGCATGAGATTTAAAAAAAAAAAAGTGACTAAGTCACCTCATTTAACAGCATCTAACGTCAGAGAGCAAAAATCTTCACTAACAATTTGTCTTGCATTAAAGTAAGAGATACAAGCTCATGCTTACATTTTCCTCACTTCTCAATGCCCGTGCTAATTCCTCCCTTTAGGTATCCTCAAGGGAAGCAATAACATCTCCAAACTTACAATTTGGCCTCCAAATGTTTTTTGAAGTCATTGTTTCGAGAAGAAAGAACAGCAAAAGAAAAAGCTGTGAAGAAACAGCCTCGTTCTATATATCCAGTTGGAGAGTTCTCATTGAGGACCACCCCAAAGGATTACTGTTGTCTATTTTGGTCCAAACCCCATCTGCTTTCATCTGTGAATTTGAAAGCTTCACAAAACCTTCAAATCTAAACCTAAACTCTGTCAAGCTTAATATTAAAAACAAGTATTTATTAAACAAACAAAAAAAACCCCACAAAAAACCCAAAACACACTTTGATTTTCATTTTAGCTATCACTTACACTATTCCTGAACAGAACCACATACTTTAAAAAAGAGATTTATTGTTACACAGGTGCTGTAACACTAGAAGATGAGTCATTCCCCTACTCCTTCCCATCTCTCCCATCCAAGGACAAAACAAGCCCTTTATGAGCTGTACAGACTCGTTGCCAATCCATTACAATCATACTCTATCAGCTGGCATGCACGATGGCCTACACTCTTCCACAGGCTGGCCTAGATTTTTGCTAGCACGAAGCCAGCATGAAAGCCAGCGGACATTCCCGTGCAGGTCAACAGCTCCAAACTATCAGACCAATACTCTGAATTCTACTCTCATTACACGCCGTTTGCAACCCTCAAACTTCTCGCAACACCGAGTTCCGTGCAAGAGCAAGGCCACACAAAGGTACTAAGATTTTTTGGTTGTTTTTACCTCTGGTTGGTCTGTCTCTATTCTTCTCTCTTGCAGCGACCCGTTCTCTCTCCTCCAGCTCCCTTCTGAAATCACGGTTACGCACCTCTTCAGGAGCATCCTGAGTGGCCTGTCTAAAACAACAGGAAGGGGGGAAAAAGCTGAAGTTGACAGTCTGCCGCTGGCAGCAATTTTTTGAAGGAAGTCAATAAACTCTGAACAGGGAAGCATAAAGAGAAAGCAACGGGGACCATGTAGACCCAAGTTTCTTTGTTGTCTCTTCAGCAGCCCCCTACTCTACATGCATTACACACACAGACACGCAACACCACGCACATGTGTTCCTTCCTTTTAATGCACCTGAGAATTACAGACCCTGCATAAATCCCTGCTAACCCAGGATGACCACATCTACCTCCTGTAGCTAGGGCTAAACCTCCTGTTCTCCAGCAGCCCAAGCCCAGCGTCCTAGCAGACATCCACCAGCATTACGGTCAACTGCCCTCGCCGTTTTCTCATCCCAAGCTGCTGCAAACAGTCGCTAAGGCTTACTGGTAAGGCCAAAACCAGAAGGTATTTTAAGTAAACCTTTTCCCTTCCAAGAGACATACAAGATAATCTCCTGTGACCATTAAAAAAAATGGCTGGGAGAACAGGCAAAACACCAGCTTTAGTGAAACATATTGCAAATACATGTTTTTCCCTATTTTATATTACACACACCGGCCAAAAGCAACAGACCGTATTTGAGTCACACCAAGTTCCACCTAGACAGTGCTGAATTTTCCATGGAAATCTTGAAAAGAACTAAAGAATAAAAACAAGCAGCAATTCCTTTCACCTTTCTGTGAACCCAGTGCTGGAAATAAGAGTGCCTGGAAGAAACCCAGACTTGAGCCATTATAAATACACTGTGTGCACAGCCTGCCTTTATGAGGAAGTGTTTAATTTGCTTTTGTAATTAAAAACCTGAACCCTGGCAGAGCTGCAAAATCCCCCCAAACCCTGTGTCATTCAAGCGAACACGAGCAGGACTGAAACCCTGAACTTCTCTTGCAGTGATGCAGTCCTGGTAATTTAACAAAGACAACTTTGTATTAGGTATTTGAGAGAAAGACCAGAAGACACTAAATGCCTCCCCCATCTCTCTCTCATGCACATGGAGGGGTTTGTTAAAACATACACTGTGTATTTCTGTACATCCTCGTCCCCACACGCTCCTTTCAAAACAACAGACTGGTGTTCCAAACCCCACTTTTGTTTAAAGAAACAAACCACCAGCCATTTTTTCCCGTAACAACAAAAGGCCTTTGACAGCACTTTCTGGGCTGTTGATTTTGGTGTTCTCCAAACAACTCCCTTATCCACACATATTCTTCAAAACCAAAAGGGCAGGAGGGAAGGGGTGAAAGGGTAAGCTTCTGCACAAAAAAGTAGAAAGACAAAACTTTTAACAATAATTGCACTGACATGAGTAACATTAGTCAGATGGCAAAAAACACCCAATATTTTTAGGCTGACATGTTTCGTTTCAATTCTAGGTACCTGTAGGTACCACTGACTCCACACTTCATTCAATCCTTCAAAAGGATAATGAAGATTTATTATTCATTTCAAACATAGGAGAATATTCATAAGATCCCATTATCTTTCACACTGATGAAAGCAATTTCCTCCCCCAGGACCTGCATAAACTACCTGAAGCATTTAACATCAGCTCTTCCAACACCTACTACTGCCTGAATGTTATTCCATGATTTCCCTGCTTCCTCTTAATGCCCCTTCCCCAGCGGTCCTTTGCCAAACACGTGAAGTGATTCTCCTGCTTTTTAAGACGTGCTCAACTTTGCTCTTATCCCATTTTACTCTGCAAGCAACAGCACCACCGGGAGCTCAGTCAGCTCCTGTTGTTCCCAATGATTTTCCTTCCGCTCCACTGCCTGCAATGTTGTCTCCCAAGCTCGCCTACTGATGGTTCACTTCCACACGCAGGAATAAACCCCACTAAAATTAAACCTCTCTAATTACCTGCAATGCATTTGATCTCCTAAGCCTGCTTTGGAGACCTGAACTGCCAGTCCCCCTACCCAGCACTGCTGCACAGTCTCAGCCACATCAACATCCACGGTGAAAAATTTCAGAGTACTGCTCCTAATGAAAAATAATTCCCAGGCTGTTTTGCCATAAGACCAAAAAAACCCAATACTAACCTGTATTTGATTTTAGTATGAGAAGGAAGGTCTCTGCTGGAATATTGCTTGGATAGCTGACTTAAGTCTCCTTCACCTTTTCCTCTTCCTCCTCTTGCAGGTTCAAACGTTGGCCTCGCTGCTGTTGTCATTTTACCTACTGCAGAATCAAGGGATAAAGACAGTCATTCTACAACTTCCAGTGGAAGACATTCACCAGAAGCTACTTTGTTCCTGGAAGTGCAGAAGCAATAACAAGTCCCACCGCAGAATACCAGCTATCATTTGCTCATGATCCTTGAAATTCTCGGAGCTTTTTATTGACAGAATCTATTCAGATTTTTGAAAGAAAGTATTTTCCAACATGTCAGAAAGATGATACACAGACTCTGACAAGAACGTGAAGCAGCGATTATAAAGTAAATAAACCTGCCCAGGAGCCAGTCTCCTATTATTAAAGCAAGTGGTTCAATTTTGTAAGTAAGCTCTTTTCCCTCCTGAAAACTGACAGCCAAAAATGACTACCTATTGGGAATGACCAGTCCATTATTCCCAAAACCATATCTAGGTATCATCACCAGTAAAGCTGGCTGAGACAGACCGTGGCATGCCTAGGAAAGCACTGATAATTAAATACTGATCACGATCACCCAGCTTGGACACTCCAGCCCTTGCCCTGTTCAGTTCTCTAGTACAGGCAGAGCACTGTCATTAACAGCTGCAGCACAGCTCTTTGAGACCGACCGGTGCAGGGTATCAGCTGGCCAGTAAAACCTTCTGAAGGGCTAAGGCTAATGTTTCCCTGGCAGCACAAGGCTGGCACCTCTACCCTTATGTTAACAAAGTGCAATTAAAAAAAGCTCAGACCAATGCAGAAATTTTCACCAGCTCTCATTCAAAAACTGCAGGAACTCTCATACTGCCTGCACATCCTAAAAAAATGAACTAGCTGAAGCTGGAAGTTGATACTATCTACTCTTCTGGCAAAGCAGTGATACAGCCTCCGGCCAGCCACACAGATCGCTCTGTCAGCATGCGCCACATACAGCGCTACCAGACAGGAACTGGAGACCCTGTGATCCCAAACCACTGTGCCAAGAGTTTAAGATGGTTAACCAATGACAAAAAAACCTGCATGATCAACCAGCCCCATCCTTTCCTCCTCCACCAAGACATGCACATCCATTAACCTCAGACTAGACATATATAAGACAAGAGAGAGACATCTGCAGAGACACACAAAGGTACCAGTCCTACCAACCAAAAGGTTCAATTCTAAATCATTAAATTGTGTGGGTTGGAAGGGACCTTAAAGACCATCTAGTCCCACCCCCCCTGCCATGGGCAGGGACACCTTCCACTAGACACCAAGACATGCACATCCATTAACCTCAGACTAGACATATATAAGACAAGAGAGAGACATCTGCAGAGACACACAAAGGTACCAGTCCTACCAACCAAAAGGTTCAATTCTAAATCATTAAATTGTGTGGGTTGGAAGGGACCTTAAAGACCATCTAGTCCCACCCCCCCTGCCATGGGCAGGGACACCTTCCACTAGACCAGGTCGCTCAAAGCCTCGTCCAGCCTGGCCTTGAACACTTCCAGGCATGGGGCATCCACAGCTTCTCTGGGCAACCTGTTCCAGTGCCTCACCACCCTCTCCGGGAAGAACTTCTTCCTGACATCTAATCTACAGCTTCCCACTTTCAATTTAAACCCGTTACCCCTTGTCCTGTGACTACAGACCCTTGTAAAAAGTCCCCCTCAGCTTCCCTGTGGGCCCCTTCAGGTACTGGAAGGCTGCAATAAGGCCTCCCTGGAACCTTCTCTCCGCCAGGCTGAACAAGCCCAACTCTCTCAGCCTTTCATCATCATAAAGGATGACAAAAAAAATATTAAAGAAAAAAAAATATATTGCTTCATATGCTTTTGTGATACATAAATAAAAGTTTTTTATGCTCTGCTTGCATTACTTGCTATTTTTTCACTTTTAATGAGCTCACAAAACACAAGTATAGTATGAAAATTACAAAATAATGTTGCTCAAAGTAACATCCCATTAGGCAGAACACCGTTACTGCCAGTGAACTACTACTCAGAAAACAAAATTAACAGAAACACCTTTAAAAAGAAGTAAGACAGCAAGTAGCCTTGGTTCATTCATCAAGGATTGCTGACCCTCTGCAGTGATGCCGTGCAAGTCAGCTGAGGCTCAGCAGGACACTTCAGCACTGTCTTGGTACAGACTTGCCAAACTCACGAGCCAAAAAACCCACATGCTCTCATAACTTATCTGTGCTAGTTATAAATAACAGGGGGATCCACGAATGCAGGTGAAGAACCAGATGCAGTGTGGCTGTACTGTTATTAACAAATCCCCTAGAAACCGCCCGTTTCTTTCTGAAGTGAGTCTGTAGCAGGCTTGGCTTTAAAGGACCCAAACTCAACCCGAAACCACTCATGGACCATCACACTGACCTAAGTTTCAGAAACACAGCCCTGGAGAAGCCTCCAGAGCTACACGAAGGCAGGACCGGCCACGCAGGAGTTATGAGCCAAGTGACAGCGACTGGGCTCAACCTGGAGCTGAACC